TTGTGGTAGCAGCATTCCCATAACTGTGGGATTTATTTAAAAGCTCACTTTGTGTGGTAGAAATGCGGATCACTTTGAAGACGTTGTCAAGGACAGAGCTATCCTAGAGAGCAGCTCGTGATGAAGGTTGTAAACACTTTGAGGAAGACAGACGTGAAAAACGGGGCCAAGTGTCATGCCAACTTTCCTATATGACCTCCGTTCGTGACCTTGCTATTCACTGATCAGACTTTACAGCCACAAGAGAACAGACAAGATGCCGTGACATCATCCTGGGATATGCTGGACAGCGTATATACATTTAAACGCATTGGAGTTCCTCAGATGCAACATCTGGTGTGTAAGAATTTGACAGGGATCTTTAGAGCAGAGTTTACACAGGATACAAATAAATGTCCCTGCTAGCACCTGGGGAAAGGTGCAGGGTTAAAAATCTCTGGATCAGTCTTCCGTCCGCAGTTCAGGTCCGCAGGGATTCACGCTTCTTCCAGGCTGTCCCATGGACGTGCCTCGGCGCTGACCTGCAGCAGACACCTTTATTTGCCAGAGGCTCAGCATTCATGCCCACTGCAGCCCTGATTACTCTGAGCCCCGTCACCGAACTTTGTGCTGTGGTCCTGTCTCCGTTCACAAGCGAACCGGAGTTGGGTCAGTGCCGGCTCGGAGGGCAAACCTCCACGGAACACGTAGGGTCCGCAGAAAGCGGCTCTGGTTCAGTCGGTGGGGCGCCTTCTCTTTTCAGTCGTGGCAATGCCACGCTTGGTGGTGAGAGGCTGCTGTGCTGGTGGAGGCGCTGCCTTTCCAATGAGGATTAAAACCAAGTTCTTGACCATTTGGGGCCACTAAAATTCCCATGACGCTGTAGAAAAGATGGAGCCTGTGAATCCAAAATCCTGGCTAACTTCCCAAACTGGTAAATTCACTCTAGCTACCTACATTCCCCCTGAGATAAGGATATGGTGTTCTCCATGTCCTGGCTGGACCTGTTGTTTGGTGCTGCTCTGCATACCAGAGGGGACTGGTTCAGTACTGGGAGGTGTCACCTACCTCGCAGAAGGTTGATGTTTGTGAAACACTGAGGCACTTCTTGGGGCTTTTGATCCAAGGATATTGAAGTACTTCTGTCCCTTCTTCTGAAACCAGGGCTGCCCCTCAGCCGAGCGATAGCAGCTGTGTGGGGCTTTGCAGATTGGCTTCCCAGTGGAGGAGAAATCAGTGACAATCTGGGTATATTCTAAGTGTAACTTGCTTTATTTACATGCACACACCAATCCTGAAATGGAGATGGCCAAATAGCCACTCTATTTCCAGAATTGACTCTAATCAGAGTCCAAGGCAGAGAGCAAATTCTCCTGCTGCTCTCACAGCTCCCTTTTACACCAAAACCTAGCATAACACAAAACTCACACACAGCATGTCTTCCCAAGGCTGAAAACTTGCTCGCACACTATGAAAAGAATCTTAGACTATGACAGTGCCACCCGGTGACACCTGTCAAACGGAATTACCAAGAGTATCATTGGGATGTGGCCATTTGATCTTGGGGAAACTGGACTGGGCCCCCCAACTCAGTTCACTTAGGCTACCTGAGAGTCATCTATCCACTGGTAGCTTCTGGTCACTTGAGCATGACCGTACTTGGGCTGGTGGTGTGGATATAAAAGGCCTGTGGTCCCATTCTCAAGCGATGTCTTAATGGTTGACCCGGGTGTTCTTACTGCCCACTCATGGCTTTCAGTGGACAAAAAGGGAAGATCTCAGAACAGAGGTGCTGGGGGGTGTAGGGTCAGACCCAGGCCAGTTGGAAAGGCAGGATCCAGTATAACAGCATGTGCATGTTGCCTGTCCTGCTACCCTTCGTGCCCCTCTTGTGCCATACACAAAACCCCACAAAGGGCCGTTCTGGGCAGAGGCCAGGGTCAGTGCTGGTAACTGACTATTGCTTCAGGCTTCCGTGGGGTGAGGAAACCCAGAAGGGATTTCAGCATATTGCACCAAGGCCCTTCCTGTTTCCCTTGGGGAGGGAGGAATTTCTGAGTAGAGAAGGCCTGGTTAAAATACTCACGGACATCAAAAATCACAAATATTCCAGGTTACTCCAAGGCCCAAGAGCCCAGTCACTCATCCGGGCCAAGCTGCATCCTCGATCTCAGACCAAAGACAACGCTGGTAGCCAGTTCTGTAATAATCTAACTAAGGGTTTATTAGCTTAAAAAAACAAAAGAAAGAAAGAGTTCTTGAGAGGTCAAAGCAGGTCAAATCTATGTACAGGTGAGTCACAGTTTGTAATCCCAAATGGGAGCAGAGAGGTTGTCATCTGCTATTTTCCCAATAGTCTCTCAGGGCTACCCACAGTAAGTCTGGGGCTCTCCATCTTCTCATTCAGTTATTCTGCCTTGATAGAGTCCAAACCGTCCCGAGATGCAGGGTTTTTCTATCTATCTATCTATCTATCTATCTATCTATCTATCTATCTATCTATCTATCTATCTATCTATCTATCTATCTAGGACAATCGGACAGGACAGCTATCATGTGGTTTCTGCTTTGATGGCCATGAGAGACAGATAAGTTGGGAGTCTTTGAACTCAGAATGTCCTGTACCATGACCACTCGCTTCGAAGTACTCAGGATGTGTAACCTTTCTGCAAAGCGTCCTTCATTTGCATTGCACAAGACTTCCCTCACGTTGGGAGGGGTATTTAGAGAGAGGATGGGGAGGGGGGTCAGACTATGCAAAATAGTGACAAGATACAGATAAGTGAAAACGATCCATGCAAAATCTTGTTAATGTTATGAAGTTTAAAACCAAATACATTCATATAAATCTAGCAGCCTCTTTTGATCCTCTGCTAATACACGAGTGAATTGGCCTGACACCCAGCAGTGAGTTTGTCAGGTCTCAGCTCAGCCCACTGTTTTGATCAGAGCTGGCAGCAGCGTCACAACCTGCCCTGGGCTGGGGAGGTGCACAGTGGAGGTGCCATGGGAGGCTCTCAGCCTGCTGGGCAGGGGCAAGGTGCCACCCAGCCTCAGGGGCTGTGCCAAGGGCTCCTTTGGGAGAGGGAGGAGAGGTGGGAGCTGCCCCAGCTCAGGGCCCTCTGGACAATGCTTGTTCCAAAGGGTCTGTGTCCCCTCTTGCTGCCTCCTCCCCAGAGGAGAGCGCAGCATCTGTGTTCCTCTGGTCCCGCCCCCCGACCCACCTCTCCCCCCGTGCTGCTGTCTGCAAAGCGACGGGGATCTCTGAGCCCAGGACACTCAGTGCCAGGGACCTCCCTCCCCACAGGTGTCCTCCTCCTGGCCGATGGGGTGGCTGGGTCTAGCCCTGAGGCAGGCCATGGTCTCTCCTGTCCTCTCAAGGCCCCCAGCTGCTGCTCAGGCAGCCTGGGGTAGACGGAGGGAGCTGTCTGACAGCCCCAGTGACTGGTTGTGGGGGGAGCAGAGTGGGGGAGATGGAGCAATGTGGGGGGGCTGGGTAGGCTGAGGGAATGGGGGTGAAAGGGGTGGGCAGGGCAGCGAAAGGGGGCTGAAGGGGCAGGATGGCTGGGGCTGTGGGGGGAAGGAGCAGATGTGAAATAATGGGAAGTGGGGGTCAAATAGGGGGCTGCCCCAGGCTTCGTCTGACCTAGAACAGCACCCCTGGGCTCTACCCCTGCCCCAAATAAACCTCAGGCTCCCCACTGCTCAGCCAGCCCCTAACCCCCTGATCCCTCCGTCCACACTGGCTTCTCCATGCTCCCAGTCACTCCAGCTCCTCAAGTGCCTGGCTCGGCCCAAACCCCTGCCTGAGACTTGAAAGGCCTCCGTGATCTGTGAAAAGACTCTCCCATTTCCGGCAGGAAAACACGGCTCGGTTCCATTCCTGAGACGAAAGCACCAGTTCTCAGCAGCGTCGCCAGCTCTCACGCTTTTATCACGACTCCTGTGATACTTGGCATTTGTCTTAAAGTGCCAGCTCCTGGAGGCCTGTGATGAGGTGACAAGATTTTTTGGAGCCTGACGCGTAATTTTTGAATATTTGGGGTTGACAAGTCGGTCTCAGTTTCTTGTTGGCATCATCGTTTGTTCTCAGCCTCTGTCAGGCCTGAGGGTCAGAGAATGTGGGGGTCTTTCCCCCCACCACCCCTGGAGAGCCCCTTTCTGGGGATTTTGGCTGCAAAAATAGAGGCCACTAGGGAGTCAGTGCCCCTGGAGGTGCCAGCTGGGGGCTGATGCTACAGCACTAAGGAACTGTATCTTAGTAGTTGAAGAAAAGATGTGTCAAGCACCCAAGAAGCTCCTGCAGATCCCAACGTGGGAAACGAAAGTCCCAGTTTCCATCCCATGGCAGCTGCAGCCAGTGTCGAAATTTGGGAGGTTTAGTGATTCATTGGTGTGGATAAATCTCTGACTGCGCAGTCCGTCACACAGACACAGCCAACAGCACCGCTGAGCAATTATCCGCCTCCCTAGGCACATGTGGCACTTGGGGTGGGGAGGGCGCTTGAAACGGTTACTGTGCTTGATTCATTTAAATTAAGATGGTTAAAATTAAGATGCAATATTTTTTCTGCATAGTAAAGTTTCAAAGCTGTATTAAGTCAACGTTCAGTTGTAAACTTTTGAAAGAACCACCATAACGTTTTGTTCAGAGTTATGAACGTTTCAGAGGTACGAACAACCTGCATTCCCGAGGTGTTCGGAACGCTGAGCTTCTATTGTATCTCTGAAAATAGGTTTTAAAATCTGTCACCAACCAAAGAGAAAATTGGGTTTCTTCCAGACAGGAGGTTACCGGTCTCCAGCCCCTGTCAGCTACCGTGTAGAGAGACATTTTAAAGTCAATGGCGCCCACTGGTAGAAAACCCATTTTCCAAGGAGGGGAGCGTCATTCAGTGATGATGGCACTTGAGGGCTTCATCCTAACTCTTTTTTTTTTTAAAAGAATATCAGGGTTGGAAGGGACCTCAGAAAGTCATTTAGTCCAACCCCCTGCTCAAAGCAGGACCAATCCTCAGACAGATTTTTACCCCAGTTCCCTAAATGGCCCCCTCAAGGATTGAACTCACAACCCTGGGTTTAGCAGGCCAATGCTCAAACCACTGAGCTATCCCTCCCCCAGACATGAAGAATCTTGCCGCTAGGTATCAAGACCTGCCACAAAATGGAGGCTGTTGACCATAAAGAAGGGTGCAATCCAGCGTGAAGGTCACATTCCAAAATGAAGGTTACAGTGTAGGGTAGAGCTCTGGAAACCAAACAGGGTTCACAGAACACGATGGAGGTCACAGTCTAACACAGACATGCCCCCCATTCTGTCACCCTGTTCATTCCCTACAGCTCGCCCATTGTCAGCTGGGTTCTTCAAGCGTCGAGCAGTTTTTAAAAAGTACGTTTGATTCATTGTAACTTCAGTTCGCTAGTAGGTCAGCTGCCTGGCAAGTCCTCCCAGTAATGGCCATGGGGGTAACCATCTGGTTACAGAAAACTTTTGTGCTTGTTAAAAGTCTGCCTGCGATTTCCCTGTTTTCAGTTTCATGGAGAGGAATCTTGTTTGAACCAATTCACTGGGGGAGCGTCATCGAAATTTCTAAAGGGTTCCTCTGGTGTGATGTTGGTTGCTATCAAGAATGTCATAAATATGATGTTTCCTATTCTGCGTCCAGCGTGTAAAACTGTTATTTTCCATGTGGATTTCCCATAAGCATTTGCTAGATAGTCCGCTAAGATTTTCTCTCTCTGGAGGACTGGTAGAGGGATGCCTGCATGTCAGGGGCTGGCAGAAATGGGGTGCTCTGTTTCTGAAGCCAGCAAAGGGCTTCCTCCTTCCTTCCTGCATTGTTCTGACTATAAGTGAATTACGTTGTTATATGCCTTAAGCATTGGAGACTCCCTGTCCTGAGTGTGCTAAACAGAATTAAATCTGTGCGCAGCACAGGGAAGGACAGCGAGCCCTCTCCTCTATCCAGCTGACAACAATTACTGCCTTTGTTTTCTTTTGTGTCCCCGCTCCAAAGCAGGACAACCAAAGACACCAGGAGCTCTGATTCCATCCAGGAGAGAGCAGTGGAGCATGTTACTTGCTATTTTAGCACAACTGCTGCCAGTGAGGGAGTGGGTGCATCAGCAAATGATTTCACATTCGGTTCGTATCCGAGTAGCTATGCTCATAACGTCCCTGCTACGACTGAGTATGATGCATGAACCAGATGTTTGCAGAGGCCTGAGGAGACTCTGTAAGAAATATCAAAGTCGGTGACTTCTCTCCAACCTTCTGATCTGCCTCTCAAGTGCCTGCTAAACATTACCCAGGCCCCAGTAGATAATCTGCCAGACATCACGGCTGGGGGTCTTGTTCTTGATCTGTTTGTTCTTAGCATTGCACAATGCACATTGTGTGGGCTGGGGGGTGGGGCAGTGATTGGTCAGATGGAGCCTCTCTGGGATGGGGCCAAAGAAGGACTTTGTGTAAAGAAACCCTTTCAATTGGATCATCTGTTCAAACAAGCCTTCTTCCCAGTTACAGCCAGCAGAAGAGACTCCTGTGATTTCTCCCAGACCAACTGAGATTGCGAGCAGAGAGTCTGTGCATTCCCCAAGGGGAGACTAAGACCATGAGGAGACGCCTGCTGCTTCTATTGGCTTTTGCGGTGCTAGCTGTGGCCACCATGGCTAGCCCCACCACGCAGGAGTTGCTGGCTGTGGAAGATCTGGGTGCAGTAGGACCACATGCCAGAATAATAACCCAGGAGAATGGATTCCAGACACAGCTGAAGGTATGTTTTGCAGGAGGGATAAGGAATGGAGGGGAAGTTGTTTGTATTGTGTCTGTCCTTTCTTGGGATCTGCTGGGAGATGCGGGAGGGGGGACATCCAGAATGAGATCCACTATGTAATCCTCGCTGATGAAAAGTTGAGCTTGGAGAAGGAAGTGGAGTGGGTCATTCCCCTGCTCCTGTCCTTGCTGTAGCGTTGTGTGGTCTAAGCATGGGACTGGGAGCCAGGAACTATATTCCTGGCTCTGCCAGTGTCCTCTTGTGTGACCTTGGGCATGTCACTTCCCTTCTCTTTGCCTCAGTTTCCCTATCTGCAAAAGAGGGGTAATGACTGGGACTTGCCTCGGGGTGGTCAGGCGGCTACATCACTCCCGTTTCTGCGAAGGGCTATTGTGAAATGCTAGTGAAGCTTTGCTGGCAAAATCCCGTTCACTGAAAGGCTTTTCCCCCAAGATCTCTGGTGGTGTGAGGATTCCTGTACTGCTCACCAGAGCACAGAACACCCATCAGATTACTGTACCCGCGGAGGTGCGGGTCACCTGGCAAGCGAATGCAGGGATCACGCAGGGCTTCTAGCAGGAAGGAGGTGGGACTCCCTCTGGGGAAAAGTTGTGATCTCCTGCTGCCAGACACGCTCCCCTATTCCCAGACTAACATCTCCAGACTTCCCAGCATCCAAGCTCTCTGCCTGCCCCCAGAGCATCAGCAGCATGGCTCGGCTCCTGGTGTCAGACGGACCCACAGGTAACCGCACAGACAGGCTTCTTGGGCAGCACCAAAGAATAATCTCCTGTGGCATCTCTGTCAGAGCATTGTCCGGTGACTTCAGTGGAGGCTGGCCTGGCCTGCTCCAAAGCTGAATTGTGTCCAGTGGAGAGGCATTGTGTTCCTATTCCTAGTGATTAAAGGCAAGGGGAGAAGGAGTCTGGTGTCGTGGGTTCTGTTCCTGCCTCTGCCTCGCTGTGTTATCTTAGCTGGGTTAATCTCTCTGTGCCTCAGTTTGCAGTTGGGTGAAGTGGGGAAATATCACCTGTCTACCCCAGAGGGCTGTTTTGAAGCTTAATTCATTCATGTTGGATGGTCTAGACCAGCCATAGACCAGCCATGAGTGCAGGGGACTGGACTAGAAGACCTCTCGAGGTCCCTTCCAGTCCTATGATTCTGTTTGTAAAGTGCTTTGAGATCCCTGGTAACAAGGCACTATATAATGTAGGGGTAGGGGATTACATGATAGCAATCTGTACAGTGGCTCTAGACCTATTAAAGGCCACATCAGACCATAAACGAATACCGTCTCCTCCTTGGTCTTTGCTAGGACTTGTCACGGGTCAGCCCAGCCACGTAGTGGAAAGAATGGGGCAGGTAATGCTGAAGATGCAAACGGGAACATCTCAGCCCTCTAGTCAGTTGGCTCCAGTCTTATCTCCAGTGCAAACATTTAACTCTTAGCTGGTAGCTAAGTAAACCATTAGGGGTCAAGCAGCTAGCACTGTATTTCTGTCAAGAATAATTTATCCTATGCTGAGATTTACAAATATTAACTAAGCCTGTGAAATAGGTTAGTGCCGTCTCTGTATTACAGATAGGGAAACGGAGGCACAGAGGAATTAAGTGACTTGCCCAAGGTCACTGAGGAAATCCGTGCCCTGGTGCTTCGAACCGGCTCACAGAGTTGAGCTGAATCCATGACACCGGGCTGGCCCGCAAATTAGAAATCGACTGAAAGTGTAACACGGGATGGGGAGAGGCCTGGGCTATGGCCTAGGAGCCAGGAACTCCCGAGTTCTAATATCATCTCTTTCACTGGCTCCTTCTGGAGCCTGCTAATTTTGGGTGTCTCAATTTGTGTGTGTCCTTCAGACCCCTAGGGCCACTTTTTAATGGTAGTTAGGTGCCTAAAGACGCACCTAGGGCCTAACTCCCACTAGGTGTCTCTCTGCATCGTTAGGTGCCTAAATACCTTTACAAATCTGACCCCTGCAGCTTGATTTTCTGAAGTACTCAACACCCATAACTCCAGCTGACCTCACCCGGAGCGGTGGGCGATTCGCCCAGCCGACCACCAAGCCATAGGTGTCTGCAATTTTGGGTGCCCAATTTTAGACCCGTTTTGAAAACTTGGGCTTTAACCTCTGTGTCTTGGGAGCAGCAATCCCTGCCTCAGGGGTGCTGTCAGCACTGATTATGTAGGTCCCAAGCCTGCCGCCCTCTGTTCCGTGATTTCAGTGATCCACTTCATTAAATCAGGGTGGCAGAATCAGGCCCTTCATGTTTATCAAGATGTCTAAGTGATTTTTATGGAGTTAAGATTGAAGTAGAACGGATCACGCTACAACAGAGTCCGCATTACTGTCGCAGGCTGGCCGGCCCCATCAATGAAGTAGGTCCGGTGGCCTTATGCCAGAACCAGTGTGCCCAGTTTGGCCAATTAAGAGGGCAGGGCAGCACCTGGGGCTGTAAAGGATGAAGGAGAAGGCGAGGGGGAAGAGACCTGGTCAATCAGGACTGCCTGAGAGCACTGGCTGGAGGATTAAGGAAAGGGGCAGTGAGAGACAGGCTACAGAAAGTGGAAGGCTCTGTAGGCCCAGTCTGGGAAGAGGGAGGAATTGGGTAGGAGGCCGGGCAGAGGGGCTAGTCAGCAAACTAGAGCTAGAGAACCAGTGCTGGGAGGGTGAAAGGGGTTGAGTGGTTGGATTGTGTTTGAGCAGAGGAAAGGAACCGGGGACTGAGTGCTGGTGGACTCACGGGCGAGGAGCTTGGAAAATTGCCATGTGTTTTACTGTGGGGATGGGGGGGAACCAGGCCGGTGTGCCTGTCATGCTGGGGCCTGCTGCAGTTTGATGACAATTACAAAATCTTGGGAGCTGTAAAAGTAGAAGTGTACAGCCCTGCATTTCCTGTGCCCTGGGCTCAGGCAATTTGCTGTCATTGGTGAGCTTGGGACTTCAAAACTGTACCTTGTGGCACCCTCGCTCTGCTCCCGTGAGATAAGGACCGTGTCCCCGGGAGTGACTTGATGGCTGATTAAACAGGGCAGCCACTCTTCCCACTCACCGCAGCTCCACCCTTGACCTGCTTAACAAACACTCTGTTAACTACAAGAAACCCCCTGAAAGAACTAATTTAGAGTCCCTTGCTGGTGCCTTCAGCCAGCCCAGGACAACCCAGCTCTCCTTCCCAGCACTCCTTGCCCCCCTGCTGGAATTCGAATGAATGCTCCATGGTGCCTCCTAACGATCAAAAGGCCTCTGTGCAGGATCCTCACCTGTTACGTCACTGCCTCATGACCAACCCCAGGTTTTACTTCCTATAACCCCCATTGGACACACTAACAATCTCCACAAGAAGTTTGAAAATGAAGGAACCTCCCCCCATAAAAACACAATTCAGATCTGGTGGGTTTTTTTTTTTTATCATTTTCTCCCCTCACCTTGAATTAACCTTTTAGTTCCTTATCTCCTGCCAATGGTGCTGAGTAACTGAAGATGGGGTATCGTCATTCTTTGCTCCAATATCTCCCCCCCGCGTCTACCTCTGGCTCCGCGTCTTTCTACAAGAGACCTGACCCCTCTCCCTGCTCTTTTACTCTCCTCAAAACACCCAGGTGATGGGAGTGCGGGACACTGGAGAGAAGGGGAGGTGACCACCTCTCTACAACAGTTCATGCCAGGAAGTGAAGAGCAGTGGCTCTGAAGAATGCGGGACTCTTGGAGGGCAGAACTGTGACAGGCCCTGGGAAGGCTGCCCCTGCTGAGACCCTTTTCCAGTCCCCCGAGGGCACCCCTGCCTCTGCTTCTTTTTAGGGTTAAAATCTTGCCATCCAACCACTTTCTGACTGGCTCTCTGGGTTACCCCTCTCAGGCTGTCAGCAGTTTATCTCTGCCCGCCGCCCCCCCCCCCCACCTTCGCATCCCCTCTGTCTTCTGCAGCCTGGCCAGTACCAGGATGCAGTGACACACAAGCAGCATCTCCAAAACAAAGGATGACTTACTTGGCCCCAGAAGCTTAGAGAAGTGGATGCAGGGGCGGCTCCAGGCACCAGCACACCAAGTGCGTGCCTGGGGCGGCAAGCCGCGGGGGGCAGCCTAGCGGTCGCTGTGGGGGCGGCAGTCAGAGAGCCTTCGGCAGCATGCCTGCAGGAGGTCCGCTGGTCCCACAGCTTCGGTGGCAATTCGGTGGCGGGTACGCCGAAGCCGCGGGACCGGCAGATCACCGGTAGGCATGCCGCCGAATCCGCGTTACCAGCGGACCTCCTGCAGGCGCGCCGCCGAAAGCCGCCTGACTGCCAGGCTTGGGGCGGCAAAATACATAGAGCCGCCCCTGAGTGGATGTAAATTAACAAAGCTACCTCCGCACAGGTTGCCTGAGCCATGCTTGGCATTTTCCTCGAGCCCCTAGCTAGACATGACTTAGCCTTGGTGTCTCCTGATCTCCCAAGGGACCCTGACTCCCCGTCACCTGTCTGTCAGTCTCAGAGGTGTGTTGATCATTCCACTCCCGCTCTGTAGGGCAGGTCTTTTAACCAGGCACTGTCTTTTGATCTCTTCTGAGCCTCAGCCAAACAGCCCTGGCGCCAGGCTTGGGGCGGAGGATTCCCTCTTCAAACACCATGGCCAGGTTTATAGCCCTGAAGGGATGCTCCTTACCTAGGCCATTGTTCTACTTTTCCTTCCTGGTTTCTTTAACAATTCCTTTTGACCCAGGCAGGGACGCATCACGTAGATCCACTGAGGGCCTATGATATTAATCAAAATAGAAATATTTCCCAGGTCCCCACAACAATGTAATGACCTCTCTGGTCACTTGGCCAGGACACCAGGGATAATAGATGAGCTATGCCATGGGGTATTTAATGACCACCGGTGGTCAGGCCCTCACTTCTATTCAGCTGAAACATGGCACCTTTAACAACCACTCTCCCTAGAACTACAATGGGGCATTGGTTTGGGGCTGACCCAGAGGGAAGAATGCCTGATGTTGAATCATCAACAGTACACCACTTCCTGGTGGGCTTTGAAGGCTTCCATCTATGTTCTGACCCAGCCTATTCCTACGTAGGTGGGAGAGCTGTTAAGTTTTATATTAAAACCAAACCCAGCCCCGTAGATCAGAGGTTCTCAACCAGGAGTCTGGCCGTGAGCCGGTTGCACGGTGACCTCCAAAATAAACCAAAGAGCAAAGCCAGCGTTAGACTCGCAGGAGCCCAGGGCAGAAAGCTGAAGCCCGAGCCCTGCCATGTGAGGCTGAAGCCGAAGCCCGAGCAACTTAGACCCCCTGTCGCCCCTGCCCTGCTTGCTCGCCCCTAACGCTGGCCCTGGCTTATCATCTACTGGCTATGTAGAAAAACAGTTGCTGTGGCACAGGTGGGCTGTGGAGTTTTTATAGCAGGGGGCGGGTGGGGCTCAAAAAGAAAAAGGTGGAGAACCTCTGCTGTAGATTGCACAAAGCTGCCCACCGCTCTGTGACCGCAGATGGCTCAGTTTGACCTTCCCGCTGCGTAGCAATAAAACTGCTTGGAGCAAACACAAATTCAGACCCAGGCTCTCGCTGATCCAGTTCTTTCCCTTGTCTCTAAATCTCCTGTTTGTCTATTTCAGGGAGGAAGAGTGCGGAGGTCTGGGAAGGGGAAAAAGAAGGGCCGGTGGAACGCAGGCTCTCTCACCGCTCTTGGAGCAGCCGTACCCAAAGGCTGGAGAGGATGAGGCTGCATCTCGGCCCAGGAGTAGGTGGCCATCCTGCTAGCCACGTCCGCTTGGTCTTGAAAGCTCTTGCAGGGGATGGGAGGGAGTCAGGGAGGAGCCCCTCCTACTCCAGCTGCCCCAGGCTTTAGGGGAAGGCAAGCTTGATGCTGGCTACCTGCGGATGAGGTTGCCTGCTCTTCCTAGATGCTGCTGGGCTCAGGCCAGGACTAGCCTCAGTGCTGCCTGGAACATGAAAAAACAATCATTTTTTTCTGTAACAGAATAAAACCACCCAGTGCAATCTATAGCGGTCTGGGTCTTGTGCGTTTATCCCCCAGCGTCCGCATGCACTAGTGTCGGAGAGGAATACTCTGTGGGTTCTATTGCAGTTGCGCCTGGAGCTGTCGGATAGGAGACGGGCCCTAAGAGACAGCTCCTGTCCAAAAGAGCTTTCAACCCACGAGTACGTCCACAGTGCAGTTGGAGACGTGACTGCAGCACGGGCAGGCGTAGCCAGGCCCACTGACGGGGGTGCGGTGGGGGGAAAGGGGACAATTGCCCAGGGGCCCGGGCAATTTAAAAGGGCCCGGGGTCCCCAGCCTCTGCTGCTGCCATGGTAGCAGTGGCCAGGAGCCCTGGGCCCTTTTAAATCGCCCGCGCAGGGTGGTACCGGCGGTGGCAGCCATCCCTTTCTAGGGGGCCCATTGACTATTCTGCCCTGGGGCCTGGAATTGCTGTCGGCGGGCCTGGGTGTAGCTGTTGCTAGCTTCTCTTTAGCTAGCATGGCTGATAGAAGCAGGGAAGGTGTGGTGACCAATGGGTTGTACAAACCTGTCCGGGACCCTGGCTATGTACTCGTGTTGCCAACCGGGGCTGAAACCTGTGCCACTGCATCATCACCGCTGATTTTAGCCTTGCTAGTGTGGGTAAAGCTAATGTAGGCATCATGGTTCCCTCCCCACTCTGAACTCTGGGGTACAGATGTGGGGACCCACATGAAAGACCCCCTAAGCTTATATTCTACCATCTTAAGTTAAAATTTCCCCAAGGCACAAATTCCACCTTGTCCTCGGACGGTATTGCTGCCACCACCAAGTGATTTAAACAAACATTCAGGGAGGGGCCACTTGGCGCCCTATCCCTCCCCCCTCCCCCCAAAATATCCCCCCAACCCTTCTTCACCCCCTTTCCTGGGGGGGCTTGAGAATAACATACCAACCATTAGGTTAACAAAGTGAGCACAGACCAAATCTCTGGTTGTTAGGACACTGAAAATCAATTAGGTTCTTAAAAGAAGAATTTTATTAAAAAAAAAAAAGTAAAAGAATCACACCTGCAAAATCAGGACAGAAGATAACTTTACAGGATAAATAAAAAGATTTAAAAGCCAGAGGATTCCCCTCTAATTCTGCTTCCCAGTTACAAAACTGGAATAAAATTACCTCTTAGCATAGGGAAAATTCACAAGCTAAAACAAAAGATAATCTAATGCATTTCCTTGCTATTACTTACAATTTTTGTAATCTTGGATGCTTATTTCAGGTAGGGTTTTAGGAGATTTTTTTCCCTGCCCTGGTCCCTCTCTGTCCAAGAGAACAACAAAGAGAGCACAAATAAAACCTTCCCCCACAGATTTGAAAGGATCTTCTTCCCTTATTGGTCCTTTTGGTCAGGTGCCAACCAGGTTATTTGAGCTTCTTAACTACTTACAAAAAGAACAGGAGTACTTGTGGCACCTTAGAGACTAACAAATTTATTTGAGCATAAGCTTTCGTGGGCTACAGCCCACTTCATCGGACGCATAGAATGGAACACATAGTGAGGAGATATATATACACATACAGAACATGAAAAGTTGGGAGTTGCCCAACCCATTCTAAGAGGCTAATTAATTAAGATGAACTGTTGTCAGCAGGAGAAAAAAACCTTTTGTAGTGATAATCAAGATAGCCCATTTAAGACAGTTTGACAAGAAGCTGTGAGGATACAGGGATTTTATGCTATCCTTAGCTGTATGTTTATGACAGCAGGTACGGCATCCTGTGCTGAAATCAAATCTTCGATGGTGGTGTAGACCTACCCTAAAAGAGAAGAAGTGACAGGCCCGTGAGACCAAGGGAGTTGGTAGGGTGGGATAGAGCAGCATAGCTTCATTGGCTGCCGTGGTCAATATGCCTTCATGAGGAGTGTAAATTCTGTAATGCTTGTTTTAATGATTTCCCGTCACCCATGGCAGCCAAGTGGTTTTGGAGTTGATTCTGCAAGGTGTGTAGCACCACGCCCGCCCTCACCAGAGAGATTTGGGGGCAGGCCGGCTCCAGGCACCAGCCGAGCAAGCTTGTGTTTGGGGCAGCAGAGTCTAAGGGGCGGCACTCCGCCCAATCCTAGGGCGGCACGGCCGATTTTTTTTTTGTTCGCCAATCCGGCCGCCCTGTAGGGGGCGGTGGCGTGGAGGAGGGGAGCGCCCTGCTGGGAGCGGGCTGCGCGCTCCGTCTGCCCCAGCCGGTGCCAGGTCTGTAGGAAGCCCGGCAGGGCAGCCCACGTCCTTCCCTCCCCACCGACTGGAGCGGCGTGGAGCCCTTTCGGCAGGTGGCGCAGCGGTCGGGGCCGCGTGGCGAGTGCCCCGCTGAAAGAATCCCTGGCTGCCCCCCTTCTCTCTCTTCCCCCGCTCCCTCCCCCTCCCCCTGCTAGCCGGGGCACGTCTGCAGCGCAGGGAGTCCCCCTGCACCCGCGCTCCGGCCGCCCCGCAGGTTTTTTGTTTTGCTTTGCCGTTCTGGCCACCCCAATTTTTTTGTTGTTGTTGCTTGGGGCAGCAAAAAAGCCAGAGCCGGCCCTGCTTGGGGGACAGCTATTTATAACTTGGAGTCAAACCTCGGAGGCTCTGAGTACATAAAGCCTGGTCTACGCACAGGTTTTGTACTGGGAGAACTGTCGGTTGGGGTGTGCTCTGTGTGTGGTTTTTTTTAAGCCAATCAAGTTATACTGGTACATCTATAGGGTGGACACAGTGGTAATGGTGCCTTAGGGCTGGTCTACACTGGGGGCGGGGGGGATCGATCCAAGATAAAGCTGAAGTCGAAGTATCTTGGATCGAATTACCTGGGGTCCAGACGGCGCGGGATCGATGGCCGCGGCTCCCCCGTCGACTGCGCTACCGCCGCTCGCTCTGGTGGAGTTCCGGAGTCGACGGTGAGCGCGTTCGGGGATCGATATATCGCGTCTTAATGAGACGCGATATATCGATCCCGGATAAATCGATTGCTACCCGCCGATACGGTGGGTAGTGAAGACCCTTTCACTGGGATTGCTTATTCTTCTTGTATCGGAGTAGCGATACCAGTGTAAAGCACCAGAGGGTTGTATGGCACCCGTATAGTTAAAGCAGCACAACTTTGGTGTGTAGAAAAACCCTAATTTTTCAAAATCCAGAAGTAACCACTAGGTGTCACTAATACACTGTTCTATAATCCAGCCTGGCTGCTGGCTCTGAAGCAAGCTAAGCCATCATGGACTAAGAGGGAAGGTCCTCTCATGGATCAGTAACTGGTTAAAAGACAGGAAACAAAGGGTAGGACTAATGGGTCACCTCTCAGAATGGAGCGAGGTAACTAGTGGTGTCCCTTAGGGTCTGTGCTGGGACCAGTGCTTTTCAACATAGTCATAAGTGGTCTGGAAAAAGGGGTAAATTGTGAGGTGGCAAAATTTGCAGACGATACAAAATTTCTCAAGATAGTTAAGTTCAAAGCTGACTGAAGAATGACAAAAGGATCTCACAAAACTGGGTGTCTGGGCAACAAAATGGCAGATGAAATTCAGTGTTGATAAATGCAAAGCAATGCACATTGGAAAACATAATCCCAACTATACATATACAATGATGGGGTCTAAATTAGCTGTTACCACTCAAGAGAGAGATCTTGGAGTCATTGTGGATAGTTCTCTGAAAACATCCACTCAATGTGCAGCGGCAGCCAAAAAAGCGACCAGAATGTTGGGAATCATTAAAAAAGGGATAGATAATAAGACAGAAAATATCATATTTCCTCTCTATAAATCCATGGTACGCCCACTCCTTGAATACTGCGTGCAGATGTGGTTGCCCCACTTCAAAAAAATATATTTGAGTTGGAAAAGGTTCAGAAAAGGGCAACAAAAATGATTAGGGGTATGGAACAGCTTCTGTGTGAGGAGAGATTAAAAAGACTGGGACTTTTCAGTGTGTAAAAGAGACGACTAAGAGGGGATATGATAGAGGTCTATAAAATCTTGACTGGTGTGGAGAAAGTGACTAGGGAAGTGTTATTTACCCCCTTCACATAACACAAGAACTAGAGGTCACCCAATGAAATTAATAGGCCTCAGGTTTAAAACAGACAAAAGGAAGTACTTTTTCATATGCTGCACAGTCAACGTGTGGAACTGTTGCCAGGGGATGTTGTGAAGGCCAATATTATGACAGGTTTAAAAAGAACTAGATAAGTTCATTGAGGATAGGTCCATCAATGGCAATTAGCCAGGATGGGCAGGGATGGTGTCCCTAGCCTCTGTTTGCCAGAAGCTGGGAATGGGCAACAGGGGATGGATGACTTGATGATTAACTGTTCTGTTCATTCCCTCTGGGGCACCTGGCACCGGCCACTGTCAGAAGACAGGATATTGTGCTAGTTGGACCATTGGTCTGACCCAGTGTGGCCATTCTTATGTTAACTAGCATCTTCAAATGCTGAGAAGAGGGTCTGGAACATTATCATGTATTCATTTTAAACGTATACATGTGATTAAATAGAATATCCTGGAGATGTCGCCAGTTCTGTATGCAGAAGACTGAATTCTGAAAAAAGGTAGCTGGAGAGAATTTGGAATCTTTTCTCCTGGCTGTCGTATCATTATGCATATTGACATGCTCCAATAAACCTATTTACTCACTCTAGGTGTACAGTTAAACCGGCTTCCTCCTCTGTCCAGGGCTGACCTTCAGGCGGAAGACTGACACTTTCACGAGCTGATAACCTCAGGATTTTAAATGCATGGAAGTGTTATAAAATATAAATAAATACCTCTGCTCTGAGATTCCAAATTCACATGCAGTAGGCTAAATTCACTGCTCTTTCACTGGTGTAATTCCATGGAGGTCAAAGGATTCACCATATCTAAACGAGAGACAAGTATGGTTCATTGACTTAAAAAGGTTAGATTAATATACTGAAATTCCAATCGGCTTTAAAAAGTGTCCGAATCGCTAGCCGCTTTGTATTCTGCATATCTGCTCCTACCATGTTTTTACAGTCATTACCGTAGTGACAAA